GTCCTTGGCTACTACTTGTTATTTCAAGATAAGTAGAAACTAGTTTTCTCAAAATTTTCAGATCAGCAAGTGATTCAAATGTCAGCTTAGAAGTTTACATGCTACTTTCACCTTCCGAAGAACGGGGTGGAGAGCAGTGAAAGGCAGCCCTGCTGTCGTCGCCGAGTCAGGGCCAGCGATCGAGCTGTGGCTCCGGGGACTGCTCAGAACAGCCTCACACCTTGCTCGGGGTTCCGGTTACCTCTCCTCGGTAGAGGTCGTTCCAGTAGGTGTGCTGTTCTGGCCACTTTGGACGGTTCAGCTAGGATTTCTCAAGTGGACCCTATAAAGAGTCACGTGAGCCCATTGTGTGTAGCCATGTAGAATGTGCTCGGATGCTGAACATTGAACCTGGTTTCTGTGGGTTTTGTAAGTGAGAGAACATTGGTTTGTTACCCTGCTTATGTGTGCGCCCATTGGTTGATTCTTGTATGTGCCCTGACCAGGGATCCAACCCACAACCTTTTATTGGGACGAAGCCCTAACCGACTGAACTACCCAACCAGGTCTTTTCTGGTCTTTTCATTTTCATGTTTGCATCTTGGATACTTGCAAGGATTTGTCTGGAGGCTTTCAGAAATCCCCAGCTTGTCCTCTGGTTTCAGCTTCCCACCTTCTCCCGCATTTGCACTGCACCTTGTACTCTCCCCGTGTCCACTGTCCCTTAGCCACCTCTCCCTCTCACATGCGCGGCTTTCCCACTCCCTGGAGCCTTGGCCTGAAGCCCGCCCAGGGGATTGGGACTATTACCACAGCAAGGTCATGGCCAGCGGTGGTTTTTCTGTGCAGATGCACATCATGGATCCGAGCCATGGTTAAATTCTGTTCTTCAAATCCAGCCTCTTTTCTAAGAACTGATTTTTCATGGGTTTCCCCCTTCCATCAGAAGCAGCGCAGCTGGGGTTTTTCTGTCCTCGTGCCCCGAGACTCAGCCCCCATACCCTACCGCCACACAAGTCACTGTGCCGATGGGAAGAGAGGCTCCCCGCACCAGGCGGGGATGTGGAGGCTGCGGAGTGGCCGGACCTACCAGCTAATGACCCGAACACTGCAGCCGGGCCTGCGTCTGAGCTTCAGTACAAGGACAGGACCTCACACTTCGACCTCAGAGTTGCTCAGGTATAGTCAAGGCACAAATGTTTGCTTAGTCCATAAGTAACAGGCATATTTCCAGCAACATCTTGTGTAGTGGAAGGTGGTAGGGAACCACTTGAGGAAACACTGCTAGGCCTGGAGACAGTCTCCGGTGCCCCCCAGGTCTCGGAGCCGGCCTCTGGCCCACTGCTGAGACACGCCTCACACAGCGTCACGCTGGGTTCCAGACTGAGGAAGAAAGCAGGTGCATGTTACTGTCTGAATAGAGTCCTGCGATGGGAGGCAGGCAGCAGGTGTGCAATGTAAACCTGACTGTAAAAGGATTTGCCAAGGTTGTCTGATGCCCAGAGCTAAGCAAACGTGCAAATCCTGTCTTTCACAAACTGCTTTAGCAAAACCTGGGATGTTGAAGGGAAGGCTTGGACAGGAGACAGAGGAAAATGGAAACAGCCGTGCAAGTTAATGATAGCTTTTCTCTCTCTGGGAAAGGTCTCTGAAGGGAAAGGTCCAGTAGCCCTCCAAGACCAGGTGCACATCCGAGACACTGCACAGGACAGGAGAAGCCACTGAGTTAAGCCCCTGTCTCCACTCCGTCGTTACCTTCAGCCCCTCTGAGACAAGGCGGGGGAGGCCGGAGCTGCAGGAGCTCAGTCTCGCGGATGACTGCCGTTCACGTGCTCTCCGCGACCACTTCCTCTCACCGCCCAGCCTCCAGCCTCCTCCCTCCCTCTCTCCTTCAGGCGTTGAACTGGAACGCTCCTGTCGGGGCTTACTGTGTGTTTGGTACCCGCTCCCCCCTTAGAAACACCTCCTTGGGTCAGCCTCAGTGATGTGTCCCGTTCAGCCTGCCCCCCTCCACACTGCGCTAGTCAGACTCGGTCCTTCCGCCACATGGGTTTCCTTTAAAAAAGGAAGTACATGCACGTCGTACTAGGAGTGGCTGGAAAATCTGTTCCTTCCGGGAACTGCAGTTAAAGCTGTACAGGGAAAGGAGGTGATCGAGGACACTTCCTGTGTCCTGCGGAGAGCTGCCCTGAGCCCACACTCCACCGAGTCCACTCATGCTCCCGGGAGTGAGAAAGGATTCCTGGCTAGCAGCCAGCCCAAGGGGTGTGGCTAAAACCCCCAGAGCATCAAAACTGCTTCCAGATTAGTGAGGCTGCCCTCGTATTTCAAAGCATCAAAAATTTCAATCTTCCTGACTCTTTAAGTGGTACTTGTTGAAGCGAGGGGTAAGTACGTAAGATTTGCTATACTAGTGTACCTTTACAAACGTTTAAACCATTCAGTTTTCTTCTACTTTTCCCACCCTCCGAGATCTGCCAGCGAGGAATAAGCTCCATCACACAGACGTGACAGTCCATCAGCCAGAACCAGAACAGGACTCCCTACCTTCCTGTTCCCTTCACTCAAGGGGACACTGGAAGCTCACGTTTCCCACTCCGCTGAAGCAGGGCTTGCTGCCCCTCTGCCAAGGAGGCCCGCTGCTAACGGCCTGTGGCTGCGAGTCAGTCCCAGCTACTAGTGTCTGGCTTGTTGAAAAACATGGCCCACTCGGGCGGGAACCCATCAGGCACGGGGCTCCTAAGCAATGAAGAATCACACGTGAAGGGAAACCACCCACAGGCCGATCGGGAAACTTAGTCCCAGCTGTGAGGTGCTGGGTCTGAAGTTCCTGTACCCTCACTGTCCCTCTGTGCTGGACTGATGGGGTGATCAGACACCCCACCTGCACTCACCAGGCAGCCACCTCTGTGCGCAGGGGCTCTCGAAGGCCCCGCACACAGAAAGCCGCAAGTGTACACGTCTTCAGGCACACTGGAGACGAGTCCTCGGGGGGGCCAGGGAATGGAGTGCGCTGAGGGGCTGTGTACGTCTGAGAGGACGGAGGCTGCGGTGGGCTGACTCCGACGCCGGGTCTCGAATACACGAGACTGTTTTGTAGGGAGACTTTGATGGCCCCCAGAATAGGATGTCCTGTTTGCCGCTTCTACCTGGAAGGAAAGGCCTGATGATTTCCCAGGGCTGTGTGGCATTTTGACTGGATTCTGCCCTTACGGCCTCCGCTCGTCTACGACAGCTTTTCTGGGCCACCACTTCCCCAGACGGTAAAGCAGCTGCGTTGACATGTGTGAGGACCCCACCACCACCGTCCCCTGTGAGCTGGTTTTGTGTCTACCGAGGCCCTGGCCGGGCTCTTCTGGGCCGTGACACCTCAGGACCCCTCTACCTCGCCCCATGGGACACGGTGCCTTCTTCAGAGCACAGGCTTCTGCGGGAGACTCGGGATCCACAGGAGGTAGGGCCTGAGCTTGAGAGAGAATTCAGAAACGTGAGATGATCCAAGATTTCCCTCAAGGGGGATAGCAAAATCCCCGTCTCCCGTGTTTTGGGTCTTGGCTAAGTAGGAACCGAAGGGCTTGTTGAGTGAGACCCCTCTTTTCCACACCCCATTTTGGCCTGTGCTGCCTGCACATGATTCTTCTGCCGGGAAGGTCACACTGCCAGAACTGAGATAAGAGCCCGTGTCTCTGCCTTAGACTAACGCAGTTATTCGCATAGAAGCATCCTCCTCTTAATACATCACCGACTCACCTTCCCTCCTGAGGCTTCTACTCCCAAGCCTCACAGGGGACTGAGGAAGGAGCTAATCCCCAAAGCATTCTTAACTCTTACAGTCAATGACCTAGTCACTTCCTTCCTCTGGCACAGTATTCTTGAACCTTCTTTCATCCCAGATTCGTCACCTTACTGAAATCCAAGCAAAGGAGTTGTTAGGCCATGAAATTTTGCGAGCAGAGATTGAGCAGGACCCTCATCAGTAGAGAAGTATGCTTAAAAAACACTATGCTCTATTCAAAGCACTAAGGGAAGCGTCATCACTGAAGAGGAGAAATGACCTCAGATATAAAAGCAGCAAAACAGTCCCTGCCCGCAGTGCGTATTTGTGGTGACAGCCCCACCTCGCCCAGGGAGGTGCTGGCGCAGTCCATGGGTGACTCCAGGGCAGGAATCCGAGTCTCCTTATCTGAAGAGGGCACCAGAAAGACCGTAAGTGTGTCCAAGGGTTTGATCCCTCATTCCCTGTATCATGGAGGAGTCGTGTCTATACACACACTGGCACACGTCTGGGACACCATCAGCTACTGGGGGATGAGAGGGACAGTCTCATCTGGGCCTAAAGATAAGGAGCTCCGGCTCTTTACCTCCCTGGTCCTCTCTGCCTCCCTTTATCAACAGTGGGAAACCTGAGGAAGAAATATTACCGGAGCCCGATTCCAGTGGCCTCCTTTTTCCACTCATTCATATAGGCTGAAATGGGAGGCTGATCGTTAAGGACTCCACGTACACTCTGGAACAGCAGGCAGACTTCCAAAGGATTGCTTTACACAAATGGGGGCGGCGGGGGGACACCACCACTGACTGGCCTGAGTCTTTGGATCAGTACTAAAAAACCTCAGCTGTCTGGTAGGTTTTAAGAGGCTAATTTTTTCCTAACAACTGAGTATTTCTGGTCAAATACTTGCCCCCCTCCCTTTCATATGCTGGGCTTTTAAAGAAGCAACCATTTATCCATAAGCTGGGACTCCTTAAAATTCAAACAAAAACCCCCACCAGTAGAAGCTGGTTTACACCCTGAAGAGCGCGCTGTTTCGACGAGAAAGCAGTCCTGTTTGTGCACAGGGTCTCATGACCCAGCCTCCCGCCAGCCTTAGTGACTGAGGGCCTACAGGCTCTGCGAAGGAAGCAATGCCACTTAAAACAGCCCTCCAAAGGACAGCCAGTGGTTGGATTTTAACAGTTAAAAAAAAAAATAACCTTTAAAACCTAACTCCTAAAACGTAAACAATCTTTAGGTAACTAAATTTTTAAAAATATCAAGACTTTATTGGATAAATGTTACACCACATTCTTTAACATTTGTGTCTCAGCATACTTTATAGATGAGAAACGATTTTTGTCATTCAAGTCTACAAAATGAAATAGGCTTCTGAAGATTTGAAATACAGACAAAGGTAGCACGAAGCAAAGCTTAAATATTAAGCAACTAAAGCAATGAAAGTGGAATAGCAACATGGTATATCTAGATTTTAAATACCACTGTTTCATTTTTTAAAAAATGAAAATCTGGTTTATAACAAAACACCCTTGAGAATTTGTCATGAGAAACATTAGGTATTTAAAACCTGATCTCAATTCTTTTGCCTTTATCTTACTCCTTGGTCACTCCCATCACTTGGAACAAATAACTAGAAAGCTTAACTGAAACTCCTGACAGTCACCCTGACTGGGGCGTCTGGTGAGAAGGGAACCTGAAGGTGCCGGGGGTTAACACCGCCGGGGGACGGGACGGCCAGGCCTGCCCCGCTGACCCAGGCCGTGGGGGGCGGCGCCCTCAGCACCGGGGAAGGACCTGCACGCCTCCGACCCCCTGCTGGTGGGGTTCCTCCGCCGGCTTCCTCACAGGTGTGCTTGCTGACTTCGTGATAAATGCTTTCCCAAAAAGACAATTTTAGAAAGCCATCAAAACTTGTAATGACTTACAGTGTAATTAGGATTTGCATTAAACTCACAGGAGCAAGACTGCCTACCTTTTCCTCTTGATTTGTAAAACAAATCGGTGGTCAGGTATGTTACATGTTCTGAAACTCCCACCCAGACCTGTTACTGAGCCTGAGTGCGGAGCCAAATGATTCCCAACGTGTCCAGTGAGAGGATGGAAAGTTTGAACGTTTGAGCCCAATGCTCAGTTATCTATTACGTAGCTTCAAATGATTTGTTTTTTGGCATTTTCCCCCTTTTTTGTATTAAGTAATCAATAAGGATTATTTTTCTGGTTTAAAAAATAAATCAAGTATTGCCACTAAAAAACTTGTTTTATTATTATTAAAAGTACGGCACCATCAAATATAAAATGCCTTAAAAATGTAGTACTAACAGGTCAATCTGGTTTCTCATTGTTTTCTCCACTCAATAAAAAATTTTTTTAAATATGTAGTTTCCAGAGATAAAAACATCACAGTCTCCATACCGGCATGCCCCGTTCCTGGAAAGCCCGCCGCGGGCCGCACAGGTCTGCTCCTGCTGCCGAGGCCCCAGGCCGGGCCCCCTGGCACCTGTAAGGGATCCTTGCACTGAGGTGGAAGGGGGGCTCTCTGTGGAGAGAGGGCCACATCAGAATTCAGAACTGTCACCATTTCTGATCTAGATAAAATTAGTAATGGTAGGAAAAATAAAAGCCTTTCCAGCTCAGATTTAAAAACTAGCTCTCAGAGTATACATTTTCACTCCAAGATCAACACTAGCCGATCTACTTTGACTCAGAATTTAAAAGTATGTAATTATGAAAATGTGCACAAAATGTTAAAATACTGGTGTCAAATAAATACACCTTAATATGTTCTAACAAGCAAACATATATTCAAGGTAATGCAGCCCTGCTTTATCGAACAAAGAAAAGATCCAAATTGTCAGGGTGAGGGGCCATCCTTTCAGTACCAAGTCAAACCTTCCCTGCTGTCTCCACTGGGCACCCTGAGGGGAGCACGGGCGTCCCAGGCGGGCCGTTCGGAAACGCCTTTGCTCTTATCTGAACTGAGGAACACAAACCTTGGAGAGAGCACAGGGTTTTAGTTTGGGAGAGAATTCAACACCTCTGCCATCATCCCATGCCTTTTATGCCTGTCCGAACTATTCTGAGAAGAACTTCATAATCAGAAGAAGACAGTCAGTGATTCTTCACACATAAAATTCAAATGAGTTCTTTTCGTATTTCACATCACTTTTCTCATCTCATGCATAATTTATTGCAATAGTTTATATTTTAGAAAATATTCCCCTAATACCTTTTCTTCGGTTTAACATAGCACAATTTGCAGGTGCCCCTGGAGAGACTGTGGGTTTTGACCACTGCCTGAACATTTCACTTCTTAGTGCAGCTGTAAGAGTCAGTCCCCATTTCACTCCGTGCTGGTGCTCTGGTGTCCTCCGTGTCGCTGCGGGACAGGTCTGTGAGCCAGGCGGCCTGCTAATGTCTCTGTGCTGCAACAGAGGAAAAGGAAGTTAAGCACAAGTAATTCTATGAGAAAAGTGATGCCCTTGTTTAAATTAAGTCCTGTATAGATTGTGGGATAACACCTGATTTCTTTTAAATCAGTTAAACTTTATGACTTTTTTTAAACCACTTACTGCCAACTCTAAACCAGCAGAAGCAATAATTTTTTTCTGAAGTATTCTGGACAAATTTCAACACAAAATTGTCATCTTCACATAATCAATCTGTACTTGAACATTTCTCATGAAGGGAATTTCAGCTTTGTTCTTTCTACTACCATTTCACAGGTCACAAGACTAAGCTTTGGGAGTCAGCTTAGCTGCTGTGGACTGCTAGGAAGTTCCAGCAGCCTTCCTTTAGCACAGGCTACACAGGTAGGCTTAAAAAGCAAATTTACATACAAAACCTGGCTACATAAAAATCGGCTAGCCGCAGATCACACTGCACATGTGCAAAGAGCAAAAAAGAGGAGGGTGGGAAGTTGCCTCCCCAGAGGAAGACACAGCGAGCGCATCACGAGCCCCGTTCTGCCGCTGGAAGACAACTTCTGCACGCCGGTTGGGCTGAGCACAGCCTTCCTTGTTGAATAAGCAAACATCAGCAGAGGCACTCTGAAACGGACCTCCTACAAAAAGGACTCTGAACGGAACATTTAGAAAGGACAAGGCTTATGAAAATTACTGCCAAATGGCATAAATGAGTGCGTACTGTTCTGACCTCCCTTTATTACCAAAAAGTAGCAAGAACCCCATTGAAACCCTCTACAATCCCATGGAACCCAAGTATCAATAAGTATTTGAATATTGAAAAGAGGTGATCCAATAAAGAGAACAACAGTGAGGGTTTTTTTTGGTCAGATGTATTTTTAAACCAAAGATAGGGCATTTTCAGTGGAGTAACAGACAAAACAAATACAGAATGCAAAACGGAAAAAAGAAAAGCCATCCCCAACCTTCCCAGTATCCGAAATAGGCATCTTTCCTTTACCGGAACTCTTTCTGAGTTTACTTCCAACTGCTCACGTGCCTCATTCACTTACTGGATCGAGGCCTATACACACATTTCACGTGGTATTCTATCGCATTCCTTCTCAGGCAATGGAAATTAATTCTAGCCATAATGCAGCACATCAGAGTGGAAGGGGAGTGTAGTCTTGGCTTCTGAAGGACCAGAATGACTAACACTTTTAAAATCTGACATTCAGCTAAGAAAGTTTTTCTTTTCTAAAGCTATTAAACTAAAATTTAGACTCAGAACTTTGGTAATAAATATCTCACTTTATAAACTGAAGGAGAAAAATAGCAACTAGCCAGTCCCATGTACATTTCCATTTCCTTCTATTTATGGCTGTCAATATCTGGCTTCAATCTGAGAGAGGCCTACTCAAGTTGGCAGGAAAGCCAAGGATTGAAACATCGTACTACTCATATGAGAGGTGCAGAAAACTGAGAAGACACTATTCCCTCAAGAGATCATTGTGAGGGGAGCTGCCAGCCCTACACGGTTAAGAATCCAAAATATCCCAGCCTCAACCTCTGATCCAAAATGTGCCATTCTGACCCAGGTTGCAAATTACAGCTCGCACGCAATGATCCAGCCCAATTACAGATCTTCACTAGCTGCAAACACCAGAGGGTTAAATAGCCTTGATTTGGGGAAGCAAAAAGAATCACAAGTTCAAAAGCAGCACAACAGAATCCCTAAACCTTTCCACCTGTAAAAGAGCCCAAAATAAGCCTTTTAGGCACTACGCAAGGTTTTCATAAATGTGCTTAAATAGGTTACAGCCACATTTCCACACTCTTTTGCCACCGAGTTTTATAAATGACAATGGTTTTGAGGTTAATCACTAAGAATATATATGCTTATATATATTCTTATATATACATTAAGAAGAAATGACTATTAAGAAGAAGTTCAAGTAATGGATATAAAAGTGACAAAGAAAGGCTGAGGTAGTGAAAAGGTAAAGAAATCCACTATGTGACCATCCAGGGAGGCTCAGTTGCTATTTGACATAATTCTATAATTTGATGCCCAACTTGTTCCACCATAGGAGTCTCGGAGGAGGCTGGCTCTGCCTTTTTAGTACAGCAGTAATAGCAAATGAAAAGTCATTTTCACTCATTAAAACGATCACCTAATGACGAACACGCAGCTACCAATGGACTCTAAGGAAAAAGAACTAATGGATTCTTTCACAGCTAGCCTAATCTACTTGGGGAGTGACCAAGTGATGACATGGTGCCCTCTTCACTTTGTGGCAGGGCTTAACACAGACAGACCTGCCCGTTTCACTGTTAACTTCAATGCTCCCAGTCTGAATCCACAGTGGTCTGTCAGACACTGTAAGGGAGCAGCAGGATTCGTCACTGTCTGATGTAATAGCTGCCATTTGTTGAGACCTATGGTAGAAAAAACCAAGTTAACAAAAGTAGAGAAGTCATTTGAGTTCTTTTTAATCCATTTTACAAAAAAAATGTAAAAAGACCAAAATTCAGCTGAATTTTCATAATGAATTTATTCTACATAACTTGCTGGCTTCACAAAATGTGAAGCTTTGGCTCTAAACTAAGGGAAACAGACTTGAGGTGTTTGCACCAGCCTTGGCCAGGAGAGGGCACTCTCCGGCCCAAGTCAGTTCAGCAGCAGAACACCTTCCGTCACAGCCAAGATGCTGCCCTCACATTTAATGTTGCTGACAAAAAGAATTCTTACGAACCTAACACTAGCCTCCTTCTGGAATAGCCCTGATCTTAGTACTCAACAAGGGGTGAAGTCACCCCTTCCCTATCGCATTACAACATTAATGAGACCCTGTTTTGCAGAATCACCAAAATGTGCCTGAATCCCTTTCTCCTCTGAAGCCGATGCCCATCTCCACATAGTATTCAGGGCCCTGAGTTACTGCATGAGTTAACACCTGCTTGAAATAAGCTTGAAAAGATAAGCTTTCTCACCTAAGCTTTCAGAACCAAGACTTCATACACTAAGCGTAATTCAAATGAAAGATTGCTATTTTAAGATTGTTTACTATACTGTATTTGCTAGTCTGCTTCACTCCCTACTTTAAATATAAATTTAAAAAGTCATCTATCACATCAACTGTAGTGATGTGATGACCGCACTACATAGTAACCCTGGAGTCGCTGAATTAGATAATGTTTGGTCCTTATAATTTTTAAAATGCTAAGTTAGAAGCAGTAGTATATGATCAACTCTTTTAAAAAGACTTTTCTGACATTGAACAGGAGCAACTATATACACCTGATCAATAAACATAATTTCAAATTTTAACTGAGAGCAATTTCCTTAAATGAGGCTTAACAATGAAGTTATTTACTCTTTTGTTCATGGGAAAACTTAAATATACCACAGTGATGGAACAGCAATCAAACCAAGAAGAAAAGGAATCTGAATGTACAAGAGTTTACCTTTTGAACCTCTCCCTCCATAAGTAAAACCTGTTAGGTCTCAAAGATCATTCTCAAGGATCTCCTCTGCAATTCTAGGCAAGAGAGTTGAGAAGCTGCAACAAAGAAGGACCAACGTTCCCTGGGCATTTCTCCCCAGACCCCAGAGCCTGGTTCATGAGCCTTTTGTGCCAATGTTGAAGATGAAGTTGGGGTCTCAAGGTTTTTCTTTAGAAACTGACCACACCTACAAGATCCATTAGAAAAAGCCAGAGAGCCCCTATGGTGATACAGTACATGAAGGGAAACCCTCATTAAAGCAATTTCATTGGAATTACTGATTTTGCCCATTAAGACAAAGCTGACATGTAACAGTGGCAACTATTCCCGGGAGGCAGCAGAGATAGGAAAGGACAACTCAGAACAGGGTAAGTAAACAATCTCCCGTTTAGAGCACATGAAAGAAAGAAGCAGAGGAAGGTCACACTCTTAGAGCACAGCCCAGGATGGACAACTAAAGAATTAAGATTATATACATGTGCCTGTTAGCTTGCTGAACACTCAACATAAATATTCTCTTAATACAATACAGTACGATGTAACGTGAGCTAGCAGAAAAAAGCATAAACAGTAGCTCGCTTTACAACAGACATTCTGGTTTCTAGCCTTGGTCCTATTTTCCTAATCAGTTATTTTTCCAGGGTTTCAGACACACTGAGCCTGGTTCTTCCCAGCATACCAGCAGTCACACCGAGATGTGGCACTCCAAGCCAGGTTCCCTGCCAGCAGTTAAACTGTGGAGGAAAATCACAGGTTTGTCGTCAACAGCTCTGAGAAACGAGTAAAAATGACTACCCTCTGGAAAATGCAGCCACGACGCACACAGATCAAGGCCTTGGAATGTGAAGTATTTCCCTCCTAGAAAGGGGAAACAATCTCCTACTCAATAATACCAATAGCAACAAAAAATAAAATGTCCAAATTAATGTCCATTTTTCACCATTCAGCAAAATACCATTACAACAGTACACCAGGGTCCCAGGGAAACACACCAACCATACAAATCAGCGAGTTTACACTGACAGCTGTTAAGGGTGGCATTGTGGTTCGAACAGCTTTGGAAAGCTCCCTCAAGAGGACCTCTGCTCCACTGAAGCTGGCAGCTCAGACACTCCTCACGTCTCTGCAAGGATGTGGGCTGTACCGGGATCCCGAAATGGCAACTGGTCTCAGTACATCAGTGTCGGAACAGCAGCCACTCTTCCTCAGGAGTAGACTATCATTTCTATGTCAGGCCCCACGCTTGGCCTTCGGGAGGGTAGAAATCGGCGAGTATTGGACTCCTGGAATTTATGTGATCCATAAATGAATGGGGCCAGCGCTGAAATGTTAATGCACTTCTCCCTTCACCATAATTCCCGAGACCTCCAACCCAGCTACTCTCCACAAATGCCTGCTGGAAATAATTCATACCTACTTATAGGTATTTATGGATGATCATCCTATGGTTATTGTAATTTCCATATAATGTTGCTTAACATTTTTTTCACTTATACTATGTTGCAGGATATTAT